AAATGGTTCAAAACACCGAACAACTGAATAATTAAAACTTATATTTATTGTTCTTGTATTTGTTCATCATTTTGAGATCTGCAACTAAACTTCATATATATAATTTGCAAGAATTTGTGTTAAAAAAATAATTTCCAAATGCTATTTACATTTAGATGCTGGTGCACTAGGTAGTGTCATCCAGATTGGTTAACACATCCTGGATGCTATGATTATTCAATTAAGATTTGATGTAAAAAGCCATATAAGGCAAATATTATTAACCTACAACTAAAGCTACGTTTCCCTGCTTCCTTGTCAAAAGGGGTCGTCACAGCAGGCAGCGCCGCATGTTTGATTTGGCACAGCTTTACACCGTTTGCCCTTCCTGACTCAACCAAAAAAGGAATTTGTGTCTCCAGCTGGAATTGAACAGGTGACCTTTTGTGAATGTGAATGTGTAAACCACTACATTGTGATTAATAATCTGCAACTAATCTGTGAATCATTTACTATTTCTCACATTAACAGCTGAATGGAATGTAATTACAGCTAACCAGGTAGAATAACAGTGTGTGATAGCTGCAAGGGCAATCTGCCACTGGTCAGAGGACGAGAAAATACTAAACTGGAGACGCATCAAAGTAACTTGTGACCAAGAGAGACTGTGAATGTTCTATTTGGATATTTGGTGTTTTAAAAATAAAATTGACAAGTTTGCTGGAATTTGTGCTCATGCAGCTCCTTTGTGTTCAGTAAGGCAAAGCAAACTTGTTATTCGAGGGCTTTTCCTGATGACAGCAGAGCATGTGCCACAAAACTTGGAAGAGTAAGTTTGAATGGAGGCTGTGGCAAAGCTGCACATAACTACACTTCCATAGAAACATTAATGCAACACAAAGGGGCATTATATGTAACCTAAAAGCACAATCAGCACCCTGTTAAGGATCAACTCTGTTTAAGTATTTTATTTTTGCAAAGAGATCCTAAAAGTAGATTACTCACGATGATATGTAAGGGGAAAAACACCAGAATCACCACCAGAAAGCTATACTGCGTGTTTCGTGTCATGACTGTGCCAACCCAGTAAAGCAAAAACATAAAATCTACAAAATAAACAAGTACAGTTTCTGAAATGCTCATATCTGATATACTGCACATGTGCAGATAGTGTCCATTCTTTATTTTTGCCCTTATGTATAAAATCATTGAATTATTACATTTCAGAAAGTGTTCCTTACAGAACTAAATAATCAACGTAACTGAGAATGTTCAGATGCTAACAAAGAGACCACAACAAACTAAACGTAAAATAAACATAAATGAAGATCTAAATGGAGAGTGACTACAATCTATTTCTCAACTGAGTAAGGTGCTCCACGATCCACAGCGGCCTCCCCACTTTGCTTCTCATTTTATGAGAAGGCTACATCCTGTAATATAGAGGGCCACTCCAAGTGCTCGGCTTTTAAATGTCAGTTTGTGCTGAACACAGCTCTTTGGGTTTATCAACATGAAACGACAGAGTGAGGATGAGAGCAATAGAGAAGGTTAGATAGTTTGTAAGAGAGCTTACCATCAGCCCAGCCTCTCCTCTTCTGACTCACGAATCAGGACTGGCTAAATGAAGCAGAAGCGCAGACAAAATAAAAAAACATAAATTACAATATTCAAATAAAAGGAAAAAGAGAAAAACAGTGGACTGATGGATATGTAAACCAGCACTGCAATAAACAACTTATCAGCATCCAACATGTTGCCCACCAGAAAGCGTCAACAGCCTAGTGGACCTTTGGTTAAAACCTTTAGTCCCTGACACTAAGTTTATGTTTAATACGCATTGTTACTGTTGAATAACAACTACTAGATATACACTACAACAGCAAGACAAGACAACAGCTCATGAATATGAAAACATGAACGCAGCTTAGAACTGCTCCAAGGAGCTGTCACTGCACAGCTCATCTGCAACACATACGAGACGGGAGGATGTAAGCCTGAGAGATTCCTACTTAAACACTTTTCAAATCATTTGTCCTACAAGCTCCAAACCAAACAGCAGAGTTAGCGCTACACAGTCTTCTTTGTTTGAATTCATGGGCTTGTTTTGACAATAATTAAACTCAATTATTTTTAAGTACAATTTTCAAGCATGCTGATTTCTTATATCACTAACAGGCAATTTAACTGGTCTCAAGCCGTGCTTCTGCATGCTTCAAGTATGTGAGATCGCGCCTGTCCCTAATCAGAGTGCTTATGGACAGCAGAGGATTACCAATTAGAGGGTTTGATGTTTTCTAAATCAAATATTCACTTGCTACGTTACGCCTTTAATACATCTTTCAAAGCATGATAACCAAGGGAACATTACAGTCGACGCTGCATGTCACTAAGGCTGTGATGCGGTTTATTTTGCAGCAGTAACTTTATGATGAGCCGTCAGACAGTCTGTTTTGCGAGACACAATGTACCGTCTGTTTCATCGAGCCATAAAGAAAACATCCAAGGCTTAAAGTGATTGAGGACGAGCTACTTTGCAGACAAACAGAAAAATGATCCTTTGAGTCAGCACAGCTATGTATGTATCATTTAACAAATCAGCAGAGCAAACCAGCCCAGAAAACCCTTTGAAATGCTCCATTAGTGACACTGTGACTCATTGCATGCTGGTCCAGCTTTTAGACCTGCAGCATCTGAGAAGAAAGCTCATTGTTCAAGAGTAGGTGGTGGTGAACAGTTCAGTAACGAAAGGAAGCTCCTTAACCGCTTCTTGCAGAAACAACACATTAAAACGCTGCTATTTAGTTTTAAACCAGTATCTTGGTTCACTCCTGTTGTTGCTCTTGGTTTTCGTATCTGTTGCTTCAGCTCAGAGGAGCTACCTGCTCATAGAGGTATTGAATACTATATTTATCTAAATAACAACATATCCAACAGATTAAAGCATAAATTTCATCTGATATGAGAAACAGAAGCTCTTTGACCACACATTATTACTCTGAATCGCTTACAAGACTCGTGTGAAGACAAATATTCGACACAGATGTGGGACAACGTCCTACATCTACAATAAAAGTACAAAGGCATCTGAGTCCTCCAGGCTGAGGGCAAAGTGTTCTCTTTGAAGTGGGTCAGCCAACATTCGCCCATCACTCTGTGTACATACAGTGCTGCATGGGCACATCATCTACATGAGGTATGTTTTCACTGCAGGAACTAGCGGCAGGCACGAGGCAGCTCGAGGATGAATGAAACCACAACAGAGGGAACATCGTTTCACTTCTCCTAAATTAGCGGTTTTCAGGAAAGAAAAGGTGGTTAATTGACTTTAGAGAGTTTAAGTCAATGCTGCTATGATTCATTTTTTAACCACTGAAACCAGCTGTTGTTGTTTCAACCAGTTGTTGTTTCAAGGTGCCCTGAAACGACCCACAAGTTCCTACACCAGAAATATGCAAGCAGCGTTCCTGTTTGAAGCATGTCAGCAAGTCCTTTTGGAGCTGTGTCTTACTAGTATAAAAGACACATCTCCTGGATGCACTGGTACGCATCTTCAGTGATGTATCCTGGGGTCATCAGGTGTTTCGGGTCTCACAACATCATACCCAGCCGGGGGTGATCAGGCCCCGACTTGCGTACCAGTAGCTACCCACGGATCAGCCCTCTTGATCCACAGCTACCTTGTGGCTTTCTCTGCCGCTTCACTCACAGCCTGGATGGCCCTCTTCTTGGCTGCCCCAGCCACGTCCAGCCGGCCTAGGACTTTGCAGAGTGATCGTCTGGCAAAGCCCCTACAACCCACTTCTATGGGCTCATAGAAAGTCTTCCAGCCCCTTCCCCTGCACTCCTGCACTAGTTCCTGGTACTTTACTCGTTTCCTTTCATTGGCCTCCTCGATCCGCTCTTCCCAGGGCACTGGGAGTTCCAGCATGATCAGCTGTTTTGAGGCCTCAGAAATACTCTTGAATACTCTTATTCACACTCATTACCATAAACTAGGTTGAATGCATTAGTTTATTCCTTAATTTAACTGGGGATAGAGATAGATAAGTGAAAAGATCCAACAATGTCAATCCTGACAAAAAGGGCATTCATTGCAGCAGGAGTGTACTTGATGATAAGACGTACCTTCAAATGTGGTCATGTGCAATAGATCTATTCTATTGCCACAGAAAAAGACTCAGTAATCCAGGCAAGTATCCAGCACTGCTTCCTCTGGGTACGTTTTTCCAAATTAAAACTGGCAGAAGAGCTGTCAAACTTCAGTCAACTGTTTCCGTGGACATTTAGAAAGATCACATGCTGCAAAGAAAAAGAAGAACAAGAAAAACAAGCATTAAAAAGAGATGCAAAAGTGTGTACTAATGTGCGGTAATAATCAAGCAGTTACATAATCTGTATTATTAAGACCACAAGCAGCCATCCTCCTGCACTAAAAGTAGAGTCAATATTTGGCACCAATAATTAATTCTAACAATCTTATAAAGCAAAGCTGTAATAGGGTGTTCTTGCAGTGCTGCTGAAATTGATGTATGAGGATTTAAATTAAAAACCACAAGGATTGCCCCTAACAGCACACACAACAAACCAAGGCCATTTAATATCCGATATTCAATCCACAACAAATGGTTACAGCCATCCCCCCTATGTCAGGAAGCTCATACAACTCGTTGGATGGCGGAATGAAAACATGTAGTTTAATTTTGTAGAGCGCAGGGCCCCCGCCCCCCTGAGGACTTTTAGCTTAATTAACTGTGTAATGTTAATTAATAGTGCTGCATAGCCCAGAGGGATTATGTGCTGGACAGGTTTACGGAGGCAAATCTACAATAAAATAATGCGACACTGACACAGATGTAAACATCGCTGTCTGTAAGAATAATCTGCCACAATCAAAGCACAAGGAGTGAAAAGGATCTGTGCCTACTAATAAAAAAAAGTCTCCTTTAAATATACTACAGCACCAAAATGATCCTGTCAAGACAAAAAGGCTCAGCTAAATGTATTTATAGCACTGACACTTACTTCAGTTCGCTTCAATGAAGTTAAGAGAGTTAAATCAAACTGTACTGTGCTAATGTTTTTTTCATTTTCTCAACCAGAGAGGTGGTTGAGTACGTTTAAGCTCTACCATGAATTAATGATGGTCCCCGGCATGTTTCTGTTGTTTTTGTTCGTGTTACTGTTATTGATTGATTCATATCACCTGAACAACTCCTCTCTGCACTCATTCTTTGTGAAATAAAGGACGGTAGGAAAAGAAAACACCCTGACAAAACCACGTAAGCCGCCCGTCGTTTACCCATCACCACACAGCCCCGGCTAGGTAATTACATTACTCGAGGGGTTACAGGTGCATTCGGTGTCATTACATGTGAGGTAACTGTAGTAACGCCTGTACTTAAAAATTGAAAAGGAGATGCTGTGATAAACTAAATTATGTATGTACATACTTGTCTGTATGAGTGCCGTTATTGAGTTACTGCAAATAGTCCGAGCCCAGCGGTTTAACATTAGCCAGAGATAAGAAGAGGATGGAATTAGCAGCTCGCTAGCTTATATTCGTGGGTCCGGGCTTTAAAAAAACTACTGTTGGACATTTTTACAAAACAATCGTGAAATCTACGGCTTTACTTCAGAGTGGTACAAACCCTTGTGCCAGCTAAAGTCAGAAAACATCGCTTTCCCCGAATTGAAGGCTTGGCTTCTCCACTGGTGGCTAACCGGGCAAGCTAACGTAAAGGAGCCGGAGGGCGTTTATTTCACTCCACGGTGCACACCGGTGTTGGTGTTAAGCGGAGCGAGGTCATGCTTAAAATTCATGATAACAGCACATATCGCAGTGTCAAACCCCTGCCCACATCACACCGGAGCTCACGTGAAGCTCTTTAAAATGCAGTCAATGTTTTACAAACTACATACAGAAGCCGAAACTCTTTAAAGCCAGTTTGTGTTGTTTTTGTGTTGTCAGGAGACCTGATTGATTTAACAGTGTGTGTATCCTGCAAAGAACAGCGTGTAGGTTAGCATCACCTCTCACTGCTGCCACGCCTTGTAATGTGGCTTCATATTAAAGTTCACCCAACATCCCTGATTTGAATGTATAAACCAGAAGATGACCGCTGTGTAAGGTGACAGGTGTTTATGACAGGCTCTCCAGTGATAGCAGCAGTTCTGCAGGAGTTCCCCGTTTTCAACAAAACAAAGCGTTAATACACATTTAGTAGCTGTTTATTACACTACATGGCTATTAATGTCATTATTACAGGTTATTCTAGAGCCTCGTCATACACTTACACCCACAAACACAAACTGAAACACAACTTCTTCCCAGAAGCTGTAGCACTGCTGAACTCGGTCACTAACTTATGTATATCTATATCTTGTAAACTTTCCCTTTCACTTGCTGCTATCTTTCTGTCTCAGATCACCCGTGACGTTCATCTCCACCCTGCCTGCACACGTCTTCTTTATCTGTCTTGTGCACTTTCAGGTGCTTTGGATGGATGACCTCAGGTATTTACATTAACACCTTCACTATCTCTACTCCTTGCATGTCACCGTTCCACCTGCCTTGCTCTCATTCACACACTGTATTCTGTCTCGCGTCTACTGACTTTCATTCCTCTTCAGAGCATACCTCCAGCTCTCCAGACTCCCTGCTCTCACTACAGATCACAGTGTCATCTGCAAATATTATAGTCCATGGAGACTCCTGCCTGACCTCGCCTGTCAACCTGTCCAACACCACCACAAACAAGAAGGGACTCTGAGCCGACCCCTGGTGTAATCCTAACCCCACTTTGAACTTACCGCACACCTCACAACTGACTCACTGTCCTCGAACATGTCCTGCACCACACTCACATACTTCTGCGCCACTCATGACTTCCTCATGCAGTACCACGGTTCCTCTCTTGACACCCTCTCATACACTTTATCTAGCTCTGCACACTCCACAAACATATATATATATATCAACAGTATGTACAGTATGTAAAGCACTGATGTGCAATGTTTTTTTGCTCAATTGCACACGTTCATACCGCTCATAAAATATTTCTACGTATTTCTATCTAATTTATGTGCATCAAAATCTGTAAATCACTCTTTAATGTGCATTATTCGAATGTTAATAAGTAAATAATTCATGTTCAGTGCTAACATGCAATATTCTTGCCCAGTCTCATTGCTTACATCCTTCAAAACTACATATCTTTATATATATTGTGTGTACATATACACACACACAGGTGTATTTATGTTTTATGCACCATGTATAGCTATAATTTCATTATGCTTGCATAATGACAATGAAACCTTATGCAGTCATACCCAAACAACAAATAGGCTACCAAGATACTGAGTCATGAACACTGGAAACTCTCCTGCCATATGAAATGTAACCATCAAAATCCATAATAGCAGAAATAAACTGACAGCATCAGCACCGGAGAGGGGGAGGCGGGGACGGTCCGGACAGGTGTGAAAATCTCGAACACGTTTACATTGGAGGTATTGGGTGGCCATCTGTCACCTACTCCCACCAGGCTTTCTTAATCACACCTTCTTGTATTTCATGGTGGCGTATTTAGTCCTCGCAGAGCAGCTTTGCGTTAGCTAATACTCTTTGTACCAGGGCTTGATGGACAAAATCCTTTAGTTTCAGCTAAATGTTATATTCCTCGAATATCCCGACTGTTAAAAAAAACATATACATATATCGTCACTGAATCCAGCTGGGTGTTGTCCCCAAAGTTGAACCCTGACGAGTTACAACATGAGCAATCAGTTCGCTTTTCGTGAGCGCACACACATGTAAATACACTCCACATCGCCCACCCTGAACACCCTGGCTGGTAAATCAGGCGCTTATTCGCCGCCTGACCACTCGCAGCTGTCAGTTAGCAGCAGGGTGGCTAGGCTCTCAAAGCTAACCAACATCGCTTCAGCCATGGTTAGCTACAGGCAGCAAACAGGCTCATCGCCAGGCGGCAACCGGATAATTAACACACCGGCCCTGGAGTGCCTGCACGGCGGGCGACAGCACGAGGAAACACGTTTCATTCATACGAGGCTTCTCACATTTAAAAAAAAATGTGTGTTTTGCGGGTATCAACTTACATGAGCGCTCAGAGGATTGTGTTGATGACCGTTCATTTCTCCCGATGGTGGACACTCCCACGGTGACGTCAAATAGCGTGCTCGACGTCAGAGCAGTGCCGAGCTCTCGCCCATCCTTCGCGCGTGTGATCCACCCAGGTGAGCAGGTTGACTGCTGGGTCACACGTCCCTGACCTTGCATTGTTCAAGTGAATGTTTTCAGGCGTGGCTGCAGATATTTTCTCTTAAATTTAACTCAGTATTTTGTTTGGGAATGTTAGGGTCTGTATTTGTACCCTGAATATAAACTTAACACAAAACAGTATAGAAACCTGGTCGATTATGTATCTGTTCTAACAATGCTTCGTTTTTGGGGGGGAATAAATCTTACATCATTGAAAAAAAAACTGTTTATATCCCTTTAAATGGAGCCAAATTTGTAAGGCAAATACATTTGTGGTTAGAGCAGCAGAGTTGAGTCTGTGGGTTTGCACGAAAAGTTTGTCAAAACGTCTCTCCCAGTGCCAAACAGCTTGGAAATGTGTGATTGCCACTGATCGCAGATCAATTACCTCTCTCTCTCTGCATCTTCTCCATACTTTGACCCTACGATCTAATTGCTAGGCCGACTCTGGGCTCAACGCTGAACATAATGTTCACCCACATGTTCAGGTACAGCGCACATGTTGCCAACAACCAGTCCTGATAAAGACCAGAAGCTCAAAACATTAAGCTGTTTGATTCTGGCACAGACGTTTTCGGCCAGTTTTTCATGGATGCAACCAACATACTCAAGTCTGCTGCACAACTCACAAATGCATTTTCCTTACAGATGTGTCATCATGTCAGGTAAAATAAACAGGTTTTCCAGTGGCATAAGTTTTATTGCCAAGAAGCATTCTTCTCAAATAAAGACCAAACACATATTTCCTTACTTTTGTGCTAAATATATTTAAATGTGACTGGTTAATGACAACATAGATGCAGAATTTCAGTTTTGGGTTTATCAATCAGTTGAACTAGAAGATAAATTTAAGATTATTCCGTTATCAAACAACATTCATGTTGAGAAAGAAACCATGCAAGTTAACTTTACAGGAATATCTCCACATCAAAGGAGACAGATGAGGTGGTTAAAACACTCAGGTACCTCCTAATTAAGGCGTCTTGTGTATATCCTACTGTGAGGGCACCTAGAGGCAGATCCAAGACACGGTGGAGGGATTAAGTCACTCAGGTGGCTTGAGAATATTATGGGGTCCCACTAGAAGAGCTAGAGGACGTGGCTAGGGAGAGAGAGGTCTGGGTATCTCTGCTAAGGTTGCTGTCTCCCTGACAGGCTCTGAGGTAATTAAGTTTTATTTATAAATAACTGATTCACAGCAACAGCTGTCTGAAGGTGCTTTATATTGTAAGGTACAGATTCTGTTGTTTGGAGAAAACCCCAAGAATCAGACGATCTCTAAGAGCTACCTCTTTGCAAGAGTGGGAAGGAAAAACGTTCTTTTACCAGGACCTCTGGCAGGGGAGCGGCAGCCAGTTGGGGAGTGAGGGGAAAGAGAAAAGAATAAAGGAGAACAAAGTGAGACAAGGGCCAAAACATACTACAGGAGACGAAAGAAATACAGTTTAATGTCACGCAGTAGTGGTGTATAAACACAGGCTGGTGTAGAGAGGTGAGAGTGGAGTGGAGAAGAAGTGTTCAGAGTGTCATAAGAGGTCTCACAGCAGCCTAAACCTATTGTAGCAATTGTTCAGGGTTATCTGATCCTAAATGGTTTATCGAAAAGAAACGTTTAAACCTAATCTTAAAAGTAAAGGTTGTGTCTGTGTTTCAAATTCAAACTAAGAGCTGGTTAGAAGGGAGACGGGCCTGATAGCTGAAGGCTTTGCGTTGAATTCTACTTTTAAAAACAGGCCTGCAGCCTGAGAGCAGTTTCTGTTGGGATAATGTGGTATGAATGTGCCCTGAATGTGAGGGTAAAGATTTTAAATTCAGCTCTGGATTTAACAGGAGTCAGTGAAGAGAAGCCAATATTGGGTCAATATTGTGTCTCTTTCTATCCCTTGTTAGTACTTTCTCTGCATTATTTTGGATTAACTGAAGGTTTTTCAGGTAGCTAGAACAGCCTGAAATAAAGGGTTTCAATAGTCAAGCCTAACTTTTTAACATGTTTTTAATTTTAGTGATGCTGCTAAACTAATAGCTAATACTAATAACTTTAGTGAATCTCTGTTTCTGCATCTCATACCATCATCAGGTGAATGTTTGATTTGATATGATAAGAGCACTGTGTTACTGTCGCAGATATTAGGACAGCCAGGCGTGTTTATTAGTTATTAATATTAAGACCAAGCTAAAAGACGCCATGTATGAGTATAATTGTTATTTGTTGTAATTTGTTTTAATTGTACGTTTAACAATTAAAAAGCATCTTGTAGTGACAGGTCTTCGTGACTAATTGTGATTTTATATTTTTATTTGATGGAAAGTTAGATGTGGTTTGCAGTGCTCAACTAGAGTGACTTTTGTGACACTTCTGTTGCTATAATTAAAAAATAAATAAAAACAACAAATACAATAATTTTCTTACGGATTGAATAATAAAATAAAATAAGTTACTGGCAGATTGGCAGCTGTATGCTATTAAGTTAATGTAAAAAGTATTTACAGTAATTTTACTGCAACTTAAACTACAGCAACATCGTTACTGAAAATAATTTACTGTCATCCAGTTGCCAGTGAGTTATTGTAAAATGTACAGCAACCTGTTCACAGTGTACAGATGAAAGAAAGCAATCCTGCATAAATGTACACATTAAGGAATGCCAAAGGATAGGTGATGGACTGACTGAAAAACAAGACAAAACAGTTGAGTATGAGTGTTTTAAACAAATTCAGTCAATGATTGTGTATCCAGTTTTGGCCTCCGATGATAAAGGAAAGGGCAAAGAGGAAACACGGCAGACAGGCTGAAATTCTCTGAGCTGATGGAGCTGTGCTGGTAAGAGGTGTGGCTGAAGGATCAGGAAATACTGGCATGGCAGCCTCACGAGGAACATAATGTCATTACTTGTAAGGGTGTGGATGATAAAATGTTTGAGTCAAAGGCTTCTGAGCGGTGGCAACACTGTTGTTGACATAGTAACAGCAGTATGTTGATGGACACACCACAGGCATCTAGTTAGTCTGAGTGTTCGGGTATTGTGGTGTGGGCTTCTGGATTTACAGGTTTAAGATGCTCGGCAGTTTGAGTTTGATCCTTTGGAGATACGAGCAGTTTGTTAGGGAATGGCAGAAAAGTATATTGAGAAAATACTAGAAACAGGCAAGTGGGGAACTTATTGGACTTGTGATCATTTGTGGCCACAGGTATGGTTACAAAAACCACAGTCATGGAGGAGGGGCAAGAGGGTGAGATGGGGTTGTGGGATGGAAAATTCCAGGTCCCACAGGGAATTGTGAGAACAGAGGAAATGGATATTGTGGATACTATGGAGAGGCAGTTCACGTCTGGGAAACAAGACATGAGGCCTAAATGAGAATTCAGGGTAGGGAGGTGCAGGCACTTCTTAGTTTACAAAGCTTGCAACAGTACCTGAGGGAAGCTACAGATGTAGTAGGGAATACCATAAACATGTGTGATAGGTGTGGGAACTACGTATTGTGGAAACACTGGGAACTGAGGGTACTGAGTCTGCCGCAGGACCTGACCACTTTCACCAGGAGGTGCGATTGGTGTTGTAGTAGGGTTAATGTTGGGTAGCAAAAGGCAAGTAACCAAAAACTCACCATCCGCTCATAAAGGAAGGAGTGAATATTCTTTATCCTGCAAGGAAATAAACTGAGTAAATGTTTGTTTACAATGTTTGACCACAAGAGGGCCCATCACACCTTGATCTGTGAGCACATGCATCAATTAGAAGGTGCAGTAAATGTCAACTGTTCAGAAAACTGTTTAACAATAAATCCACAGATGCTACACGTGTAAACACTCCAGTAGTTTTAATATCTGATTATTAACCATTAGTCTTTTTTTTTTTAATCTAGTGAATCTAAACTCAAGATTATCAATGCATATTCAATATTCATACACTAAATGAAAAGTGTTTGATTTAGAATAATTAGAATATTAAATATATTCAGACTTTTTGATTTGATTGATGTGGTCTGCTGGGTTTTTATGATCTATTCCAAATGAATAATTTACATTTTAAAATTAATCATTAACAAATCTTTTGTTTAAAAGTAAACAGTGAGTCGCCGGACACACCACCTTTAATAAGACAGATGTGAGATGGTATTTAGGCTATTGAAACTTACCAATTTAAGTCACTCTGATGGTCACATTTGAATGTCAGCAAAGTTTTAGGCTAAACATCAATCACACTGCTGCAGGTGTTTGCACAGCACCCACTGCATCATCATCACAAATCATCACAAAGTTTGAAAAACGATTGAGAAACTGTCACTGCAACATACAGCAAATGGAGGCAAGGCATCACACCTTTAATTATTATATAACGGTGCTTTTGTAAAATGATTTCAAAGGTAATCTCCAGAACCACCCCCTTTTCAAACTGTTGACCAATCATTCATTGCCATGTCAACCTGTAGCGGGAGAAGTCTTTGTTGTGTATGATAAGCATGTACTGGACTAATCAGCTCTGTTATCCTGTTTTTTGTGTTTGCGCACCGCTGAGAAATACGACATTACGACATATGCATTGGGGCTACTGAAAGTAGAAATAAGAAGATTAAAATATTTATGGGAAAAATAACCATCGAGTTTGCGATTAAAAAAAACAAAATGTAGGTTTAAAAAAGTTCCAAATTCAGCAGGAAAAAGAAAACTCAGAAAATTTCAAATGTTTCTGAGGTTTTTTTCTTGTAAATGTGCCTTTATTTAATCCTGAATTTACCACTTTGTCTCTGTACAATTTTTTTTTCTTGTCAATTTATGACTTTTTGAAAATTTTGAGTTCTTCCCAATAGATTCTTTTTTTCTAATACTGGTAGTTATATCAAACAATTCAAGCTGAATAATAACACAACTAAATGCTACTAAGTTTAATTAATTCCCTTTTGTTCGGGGTAATTACCCACACCCATGTCTAAAATCGAATGTTTAAATTCTATTCTTTTTTTCACCTCTTCTCAAAATCTTCTGTTTCTCGGTTTTTCAGCTTTACGTAAACCAGTTTTCAGTGATCTAAACATCTACTAAAAGATTACATCCTTACACCTCCATGCTGACTGCCATTATTATGATTTGAACACAAACACACACACACATATTTGAGGCAAAATCAATAAAAGTAAATTTGGTATGATGTAAAACATGGTTAGCACAAAATTTATTCTTTCAATTTCTAAATTTATTGTTGATCATATTATTCATATAAATTCAAATTGATTTACAAACAAGACAGTAAAAACATCCAGTCACTGTTGGTACACTAATCAGATGTCAACAGATAAGAGATGGTAACCTGCTGAATTAAAGGTCATCTGTCCTACATACACAAATAACACTGACAGAACAAAACATATTAGACCTTTATTATTATTAAATACTCATATTATTCACTAGGAGAAAAAAATCTGACTCAACAGATTTATTTAAGTGAAAGTACCATCATCTTCTCAAAAACATAAAGATCATATAAAAAGTGACAAATTTCAGGTCATACTGACTGTATTTTTGCATTATCAAACCCACCCATAGTAAACAGTTTTTACTAAAAGAAATATGATAGTTTATGTAAAAGAAGTTTATGTCCTTAAAGGTCTGTGACATCGTCATCTGACCAGTAATGCTGATGCATCACTGCAGAGAATTCCTCTCTCATGTATGCAGCAGCTGGAGACTCACTGCTGCCATTATTTTCAGATGCAGCACTGGGTGACTGTACTGGGTCTTTGGCCTGGAAATGGTCTAGAGATGCCGAAATGGACTCTGTGTCCATCCAGCCGTAGCTGATAAAAGCTGGAGGGAAGGGTTTTAGACCACCGTCTTCATCATTGGTGCCCATTGTCCATGAGGGAGGCGGAGGTGTGAACAGACTCCCTGCTACAAGCTGTCCGTGGTGAAAAGCATTGTCAATGCTGCGCCTGAGGTTAATAGGAGATGGGGGCCGCATGTCAAACTCTATAAGTGAAAGAATACACTCACGTTCACCAACTTTTTGCCACAGCAATGCTGCCTGAGAGTCCGAGCTGCTACTACCAGGATCAGACTTGTGCTCTGATATTTGGGTGGATGTTCGATCATCATATGGGGACATTATGTTGTTGCTGATACCTGCTTTTGACAGGTTATATTTGGACCAGTTATTTGGCATCAGGTCTTCCCAGCTTTTATCTGATTTTTTTAGTGGGACTTTCCACACAGTGGCTAACACCCTATCCCAAAAGCTTTTATCCTCCATTCTTTTGAATGCCTCCACTCTGCTCTGCACATGATCACCCCTTGTGTGACCCTTAGATGGAGTCCAGAAGATCCAAGATCCCAGGACAAGCAAAGAGAATCCCCAGGCTAACTCAAGGAGTCTCGCCCAGAACTGACTCAGCCACCAGCCCCAGCCAAAGCGCCTCCAGTTTCCCAGTAGCCCATAAAGCCAGAAGAGACTATACATCTGAAGGCTGCAGCATAGCACCCCAAGGAAAGCGCACCCTGCTATGACTCGCTTTCCGCGCCTCTCAGGCCTCTGTGAAGGAGCCCACTGTGGTAAAGAGGACCTGAGAAAGGGTTGCAGATTGGAAAGGGCCTTTGTGAGGATCCCCAAGCAAAATGGGAGGCCCCAGCAGAGGGAAAGGGTCTGTAGCAAAAGAGGGACAGCAGGGGTTAAAGTTAAAGAGTATAGATCGGCTACAAATAATGCAGAGCAATGAAATATACCAAACCCTCCAACCACCCATGGGTGCTGCAGCTTTAGTGGGAAAAGTAATAAATTTAACCCTTTCAGTGTAACCAGAGCGAGAGCAAGCTGCGCCCACAGAAGAAGCTGCAGAGGAACATTATGTAGCGCTGCCAGAGTGGCATGAGACAGAATCTGACGGGTACCATAGGGGTCAAGTATGAGGAGGATGGTACGCAAAGAACCACCCATGATTAGGAAGCTATTTGCCAGGATCAGGGTGTAACAGAGGGGCCGAGGAAGCGTACATGCTCCAGCCGTCCCCAAAACTGCCAGGCAAGCCATCAGCAAGAAAAGGCTGGCAGACCCAAAGACGTGCAATTCCCAGGCAAATGCCAGTGTGCGCCTCATGTCGTCCCAGAGCAGACTGGTGCCATTAAAGTTTTTAAGAACAATACACGGCCCAACACCCAGCACGCAGGGGCCTCCAGGTTCTGAAGGTTTATAATTTATCATGGAAGTAAACGCACTGGTATGGAAAGGAAGTTTAGGGCGGTCTCCACCTGAAAGAAAGAGAAGATTTTATATTTTTAATTAAAAATAATTTCATGGTGAATTTTTTCATACTGTTAGCCCGATTACCAGCATAGTTGCACAGCATGCAGTGTCACAGACAGCTACATCGAACCAAAAGATCCAATATCAATCACTTTTACTTTATTTGCTTTTTAAATAGATTTAAATTTTATTTTTCATACAAAAATGTGAAAAGAAGGATATAATTTTATACTAGATCTCACTGTGACCACCTGACAATTTGATGCAGTTAAAGAAAAACGTAAAGTAATGCACTATGTGCGCTACTTCACTTGCATATCACAGCTTTACTTACGAGTTGGGAAGTTGTGTTTCACAGCAGAGGTATGACTCTCTTGTAAGCGCTCTGCTGTTATGTGGCCGCCTTCCAGCAGAGCTCCCTCTGAGATTACGGGTGCACTGGGGTGAGTGTTTCCTGTAATTGAAGTATTAGCTTTGTCAGCTCTTTGGTCCAGAGGCCCTGAGTGGTGCAGGCTGGGTTCTGTCCCCACTATGATTCCAGACCCAGAGTGGGTTTCTTTGCTCAATGGAGTGACAGCCTGATTGATGAGTTGCTGCAACTCCATGCTGCCAACACTATACCGGCTGCCTTCTACAGGGCTTTCTGATTGAAAGATTACTTCCCTGGCCAAGCTGTCCAGGCTGCTGTTGTTTCTGGCTCCACTTTGAGTTGTTTGGACTGAGCCAGAGTTGGATGGTGAATGCGAAGACTGAATAAGGCTTCCAAGTGAAGAGAGGGACACGGTTAGTGTCACAAAGAGCAGACGCCCCATTTTTGACAGCCAAGATCTGTAGAGAAGACAGAGCGAAAGCACTGAAACACGTTTCCATGCATTCAGGTTCCTAATGTCCCTAGCACTAAAATTAACAGTCTAAAAATATGCTTTACAGTTTTTCTGAAGCTAACGCAAAACTTCAGCCAACCAAGATAATAAAAAGCCTCTTTTAATAAAAAGTTCCTCTTTTGTTGCCACACTTTCACAGCAACTAAATAATCAAAAACTGCTTTGGTAAACACAAACATATGTACTAAAAATATTTATTGATGTCAAGATGGCTAAAACTTGATTTTACCTTGAAATAAACACTGAAACACTTTCTTCACAGCCATAATGGGGACGTAAATGATTATTAAATATATTTAGATTCACACAGACGAACTCTTATGTTTCAGTTCTAAATGACAATATTTTCTACGTGTAATCTGGAGGATGTGCACCCTCTACAATAAATGCACATTTGAATCAGCAAAATTACAACACAACTTTGGAAAAACTGTTCACAATATGAGTCAGTCGGACCAAATATATAAAGTAGCCTTTTAAGTAATAAATCAGGCAGTGTAAACAATAGGTATCTAAATGCAATTAGAAAGACTAGAAAATGCTGTGAATCCAGAAAAACTCTGAAAAACTGAAATATTTTACCCCTTCATAGTTCAGTTATGATTCAGGCAAACACAAGTATAAAACACACATGACAACACATCATTCAGCTGTCAAATCAGTCTAACTCATTGACTTACCTGCGATCAAGTCTTATTTTCTGCTTTCTTTTTAGTGCATCACGGGTTGTGCTGCATCTCTGGTAAAAGTATGTGTAAAGCCTGATTTCTGAGGTGATACACAAGGTGCATCACAGTGAGCCTTGAACTTACTGACTGGCGCGCTCACAACTAACTAACGGCTTATTGCACCTGCTGGTTACTTGGCAACTTTCCATCACTATGTCGCTAGTAAAACAAAGACCTGATTACCATGGCCCATTTCTGGAGAAAAAAGGTTGAATAAATAATTCCTGTTTACTGTTTGCGGTGTTCATAAATGAAGGATTTTAAAATGAAAATCAAAGTTGTAAATGACCGACTGTTAATAACAACCTACAAGCCTTCTGTTTTGTTTTAATGGCAGCTGTTTAAAGGTAAATCCTTCTCAAAAGGATTACATTAAGATTCTTACAGTGGCATGAAGTCACCTGCAGTGATAAGCCAGTAAGTCACGAGCCAAGTAAGCTGTTTCATGCCAACTTACTAGCTTATTATTTTTCCAGAGTGTGCATGTGAAAGACTTACGCTTTATGATCAAATTAGGAGAGTGTTAGTCACCACTCAGATGAATCCTGTGGTCTTTTCTCTATCAATAATGGATCAGCTTTCTTTCCTCTTAACGTCCACCATGGTGATAGTGTTCGGGCTAGATTTTGCTAAACAGGCAGATTTTCAGAAACTAGAAGATGTTACATTTCAAATGAAGATTCACCGCATTATGACTTTCGTTTTTTCCATGAACCCTCTTAGTTCCAAGTCATCTTTGCTGACAGCCCCAATTTAGCTTCAAACCATAAACTTAACCCTGTATTTTGGAGAAAAGCCAGTATATATTATACTGGAAAAAATAGTTCTGTTGCATATGTTAAAATAATTTTGTCCCCTTACTGCAAAGAATTTGGACATTTTCTTTTTAAATTACATCTTCTAGGATCATTGCTTGTGATGAGAGACCTCAAGGGGTTAATTATAATAGACTCAGAATTTGGGTGTTTTAAAGTCTATAAACAGGGGTGGACATTTAACAAGAACCTATCCTTAACCCTAGATGTGTTGCCAGCACCCTGGAAGATGTTAAGCAGTTAAAGAAAAATGTACACATACTGCATAAACGCTGCCATAAGAGAGCCCTTGTAGAGTCAGAGATAGTCTGCAGCGAGTGTGGGAATTAACTCTTTCCAATCCAGTGTGTAGAGGACACAGCCTATGCACACAGCGCATCTGTCTAGGTCCACCTTAAGAAGGGCAAGAGGCAGTTTGTTGTGGAGGGAACAGGGGGAGGCCCTCAGTAGCACATGCCTGGCTCTTTAAGGCAGACTGGGGAAGTTAGAACAAGTTAAAGGCACATGCATTCATGTTTACCAAGCTTCAGGAGAACCATCCTGGAAGAAAATGTTTGTGTTCATTTAAAGTCACGTAGCTTGATTTCCAGAGTCAGAGGAAATAAATTAAACAGTTAATAATAAAATAAAATGATTAATAATCAAAAACAGAGATATCGTAACATAAAAACAGTTTGACCGAAAATAATAATTTAAGTAAGGAATCCCTACTAAAATATTTTAAAATAAAATAAATAACCAAGGCCAATTAACCACATAATGTGGCCAATATCTATCTAATTTAAAACTATACAGATCCTACTTTTCTGTAATATTAGAACAGATATCTAATAGTATGACAATGATCAGTCATTATTTTGTCTGATTTTTAAATTAATCCTCAATGAAAGGAGTGGTATTGTAAAATGCTGTCTATTTATTGCGATCATTCAAACTGGGTATCTGTGTATATAGGTTCTATCATTTCAATGCAAATGACCCTGTTTTAATCTGAGAGACTGTGATTATCTTGCACTGCCAGACTACGGTTGACCCACCGTTACAGATGAGACATGCCCTACCTTTAACTACACAAATGTGGTTGCACTTCTCGTCCAAATGTCATGTAAGTTTTCATAACAGTGCTGCTCTTGCTACCGGGATGGGAGCTGCAGTTATCAGTCCGTTGGTTGGCAGAGCAGTGTGGAGAGCAGCCGCGTTGTTTTCGGGGCCTATACTTCCGTCATTTTATGTCTCACTTGGTAAACAGTGTGTGGGGTTTTGTGCGTGTGTCGCTGAGTGGTGTTTTTTTGGACATACGACGTGGGATTTCGCCGCATAACTAAACCTGCGCTTTGCTGGAAGTGGTAAACTTTTAACACAACCCGGAGCTCAGCGTGAAATAAGCAGACGTCAGAGAATCGGCCAATGGTTAAATTTTATCTCCGTGTAATCACGGCATTGTTTTGCGGGATTGCACAGCTGCTAAAATGTGCTATGTAGCCAAGTAAATGGTATGCTGGTGGTAGCTGTTAGACGTTTATCGGCTTTTTGGTTTTAAACACCGTGCCTTGGCGGAAACAAGAGGATTTCATTTTATTTAAGGTAGCATGACAGGATCCAGAGCAGCCGAGCTAGCTCGCTAGCTAACGTTAGCACAGTGGTTAGCCAGCGAGGTGTTGCTGTGTTAAATACAGTTCGATAGCCTCTATTATGAGTAAAACTATAGCCGCGTTGTATAAGTTACGGCATAAATTATATTGGTATTCAACAGTGTAGAATGCAGTCGGCGGTTACAACTCAGTGAACTATCCATATGGGTTGTGGCAAAACAGCGCCTAGCTAACATCGTTAAGCTAGCATGCTAACAACTAGCTGTCACATAAACTGTCAATATAATGAAACCAGGCACCATTGTTGGTGCGTTGCTTCATTACTTCATTGCTATTAAACCCAGTTAATCGCTTATAGTAAACATTTAGGTTTACCTTTCAGCTAATCTGTGAGTGCAGTGTTTCTTAATTGTAGGAAAAGTTGATTTAAGCAAAGCACAGTCATTGTATTAGCTCCAAGCCAAATGCATTTAATATAGCAACCCTAACGTTCCCAACCTTACTGACAAACATTTAAACTGCATCATTGTAGTTGTATGTAAGAGAGAAAAGCTGTCTCTCATCATTTTACATGAACATTGCAAATGCAGCTTGTTTAGGATGTAATGGATATAACTGTGCCCTTAGAAGTGTAAAAGAAAAATCTCCTTTCCAGGTCCAGTGACGATGAACGAGCAGGAGAGTGGGGTGGTCTCCTTTGACGAATATGTGCGGCAAAAGGCCCGCACTGTGCCTCAGCACAGGATGAAGGAGTTCCTGGAGTCTCTTGCCAAGGGCCCAGAGGTGCTGCAGGAGTTCAGCCAGCAGGAAGGGGCCGCCACCAGCACAGCCATGGTGTACCATCAGCAGGGTGCCAACTGTGTTTACACAGACAGCACGGAGGTGGCAGGATCTCTCCTGGAGCTGGCCTGTCCAGTAAGACACTTTATATTGGGTGTTGAATTATGTTGTTTGGTGGTTTGCAATTACATGTACATGTTTTATAACAGGTACAGGTGACCTCAACAGAGATGTCACCCCAGCTGCATCAAGGTTCTGAACAGCAGCTTCAAGTGCAGGTTAGTTTCTTCTTGTTTCAGCTGCTCTTGTTATTGGTCGGATCATCTGCCTCCATCTCACCCTATCCCACCCTATCGTCCTCTTTCACACAAACTCTCAAAGTTTGCATCCACACTGCTCAACCTGACCTGGCCCAATGATGTATTCATTTCTAATCATATCCATCCTGGTCACTCCAAAAACAAATCTGAGCAACTTCAGCTCTGTGACCTGCAGTCCCGCCTTGTCTTACTGTCAGTGCCACTGTCTCCAAACCGTAGATCAGAGCAGGTCTCACTACAGTCTTTTAAATTCTTGTTGCTATCCTTCTGTCACAAATCACCCTGCCACTTGTCTCCATCCACTCAACCCTGCCTGCACTCTCTTCTTCACCTCTGTTGTGCACTGTTTGTTGCTTTGCATGGTTGATTCTAGAAATTTAAACTAATCAAACATGATGTCATTTGCAAACGTAGTCCACAGAGACTCTTCCCGCCTAACCTCATACAAAAACAGTGTGTTTAAATTTTATATAGCCGATTGTCCTCTCAGTCTCAGCACACCACAATTACTCACTAGTGTTTGTGTCATTACATAGAGACCAGAATATGTTACAAATTATTAGTTACTGTTTTAAAAAGCAGTGCGTTATTTTTGCATTACTCCATAGCATAGCCTGATGCACTGTCACACATATGAGAATGCATCTATGTTGACATTAAAAACCTGAGGCTACTAAGGATGTACCAATCCAGCTTTTTCCCTTTCTGATCTGACACCACTGCTTTGACTGTGAGTCTCTGCTGATGTACTGATTTGATCTCAGTGTTGGATTAGAAAGCTGTATTTCTCACTGTGAGGAAGAGATTGAAATAAGGGTGGGTAATTATAGATTCAAAATTTATATCATATTTCATCAGAAAATTTGTGATAATTTTGGTGATAAAAAAAAAAAAATACAAAAATTTTAAACACTTGCAGACAGCAGCTTTTTTTTTGTAAGTGTAAGTAAATGAAGTGCACTTTCTTACTGAAATGAAATTTGAAATGTGAATCTGTCAAAACAAGGTGGCAACAGCATTACATACAGTGACACAGCATACGTCAAATGTAATCACAAAAGTAGCCGAAGTAGTGTTTCCATGTAAGTCTGTATAAACATATAAAATAACTGCTTAACATTTGAGTTTATCAATAACTAAAGTAGCTTAACCTCCTCAAACACCTGCGCAGTATTGTCATATAATAAACCTGAAAACATTTATTTATTTATTTTTTACCTGGGATGTTTTATGTTGTTTTGTTTTTTTTCTTGGGTTGAGCTGTTTAAACACCTGCAGGTGATTAATTTGGTAATTTCTACCCACCATTGGCTCTTCCTGTCGTAGTAATGCTTAGTTTGAGGCATTTCTTTACTTTTGGGTTACACGTCAGGAGCTGCGAGGCTTTCCTCAAAGTTCGTCCACCTTTTGCAGGAGTGGTTTTCTGGAATATTTGAAAGGTAGCTCCCTTTTTACTAAATCTATCAGAGGCTGACATGTTGCTGTTCCTCTCAGACATGCCTGGGTTTTTCTCCTAGTCCTACATTTGAAAATGTAAATGTGAGACATTGCTGTAGCCAAACCATCAAAATATGACACTCTTATAGCACATAAAATGTGTACTGGTGTTGTCTTTATCAGCTATAGATGTGAACACATTTGTATGAAATGAGGTCATACTCCACTTAAGTTTTCATAAGTTTTGAAAGGGGTTAGGGTTAAAAACAGGTTATAAATTTACAGAATTTATGGTATTTATTATTGAAAAAGGGAGGATAGGGAGAATAAATACAGTGGGGGGGGCGGGCGAAGAAATATATTCTTGTTCATTTAATCTATTTGCACTGGACTGGAGTCATTAGGCTGCAAACTGGTGTCATTTACAGGCGTTGTACTTTCTTCATCAAGAATGAGACAGCTGGAGTGAAATTAACTTTAACTGAGTTGATCACATTTTAAATTATAATTATATCATAAGTTTAGTAAACACTCCTAAAAAGTGTTACACAAAACTTTCCATCTTGCATGACTGGACAGAGCATAATGAGAGTGAAAGTAAACAGGAGGAAATTAAGAGAGAGAAAGTGATAAAGTATCACTGTCATCGTGCAGACTTTTCAGTCGTGTCTCACTTTGAGCGCAGTTTCCAGTTAAATAAATGCTTCTGCAGATGTACAGATAGAAGTTGTTGGTGTAGCAGCATGAAATGACCCCAAACCTCCCTCCATGCTGTGTTAGCTGTGGCGCTAACTGCTGCTGTTATCTGGTAAACAGAAAACATTGTAGAACTCAAAGGAATGGATCCCATACTGACCCAAAAAGTTGGATCGAGTATTGGACTGATATCCAATCCAAATATCAAAGCAGTGCCTTCTGAGAGGCTACAGTCAGGCTCACTGGAAGGAATCCCTTTCCTACTGAAGATCTTTCACTTAGTATTTAAGTATGCATACAGAGCCAACAGGAAATGTGAAAACCACGCAAAGGAGCACTTTACAGAAAAATGTTGTGGTCACAATGATTCTTCAGTAGGAAAAGGTGCAGGTGGAAATGGAGGATACATTTCTGACTGGTTATACTGATTTGTACCATCACATTGTAGTCCTTCTGTGCAATAAAAATTAAAGCAATGTAAATGTTTTTAATGTAATTGGAAAGAGGGTGTTTGCTTTTTGTTTGCCTGTTGTGCAGATAATTAAAGACCTTGTAGCACAACCAATGAAATATCTGTTTGATTAGTAGCAGAAGTTAGTTCTATGAAGTATCACAAGCCAAAAAAAAGATCAACTTTCTCTCAGGATTATGGTTGCTGTTTCATGCTTGTTCAATTCACATTAATGTAATTAAAACAGGATCGGTCACCTCAGACATGGGTGTATCTTACTGAGACTTCAAATGTATAAACTTGAGACGCCTTATGACTTTGATGACTGTTGTGTTGTTCATAGCAGAAATGTCAAAGAAAAGTATTTCAGTGTGTTTATGATTCATAAGGTTGCTTACAAGTCTGTTTGTTTTTCTCACTCTCCCTCTGTGCCAGGTTCAGATCCAAGAACAGCAGGGCCAAACAGTTGGCCAGGTTCTTCAGGTGGCCCACCCCTCTCAGCAGGACATACAGGGAATCTCAACAGCCCAGCTTGTGCAGGCAGGAGAGCTCACAGAGGAGCAGCAACAGCAGGTAGAGGATTAACTTCAGTTACGTCTATCAGGTTTTTCCATGTTTCCCCATTTAAACAAACAAACAAAAAAAACATGTTTACTGTGTTTCACAGATTCAGGCTCAGTTGGTTGCCGCCGTAGCTGGAGGACAACAAATCCAACTGTCAACTGGTCAACAAATCCAGTTGCAGGGAATGCAGCATATTCAGTTGCCTGGGGGACAGCAAATTCAACTTCAGGCCGGCCAGCAGATTCAGTTACAGGGTGGGCAACAAATCCAGATCCAGACCATTGAGACCATGACTCCTGCTCAGCAACAGGACTCTACCAGGGAGGCAGAGCGGAGGCCCAGCACTATCCCCACTGTTCTCCAACCAGCCAAGAAGCGTAAGATGGATGTCCCCCTAGCTGTTTCGTATGCTGTTCCACAGGGGCAGCAGGTGGCTACAGTTTTAGCCATCCCTCAAGGGCAGCAGCAAAGTTATGTGTCCCTACGACCGGATTTGCTCACAGTTGACAGTGCTCAGCTGTACAGCACTACAGGAACAATCACAGGTCCCCAAGGTGAGACCTGGACCATCCCTGTGTACTCCACTCCACAGCAGCAGGGTGTAACTCACATTGCTATACCACAGGAGACGTATAGCACAGTGCAAGTAACTACCGCCAACGGCAAGGACAAAATGTCCCCAAATTCCACATCGAGGTCTGCCGATGTGCATTCGGCCACCACTGCAACGCAGGAAGAGATCGTGCAGACCCTCTTCCCAGCACAGTTCATGAACGGCAACATTCATATCCCCGTGGCAGTGCAGACCGTAGGAGGGACATACAACACTACACAGTCAGTGCAAATATGGGACCCAAATCAACAGCAGAGTCAAGGGGAAGATGGACAAGACCAGCAGCTCCATCTGCAGGTTAGAAAAGACTCCGTCTTACAGTTGTACTCTAGTCCTCGATGATTATGGCTGGAACTAAATTTTCCCTGTGCAAATGTAACAGAACTGATAATTGTTGCTTTGGTTATAATCATGATGGTGTTTTCAAAAGTTCATGTTTATTTTTAGCCTTTTTTTCCTTTCTGAATTAAGAATTTGAACTAGTTTAACTAGGACTAGTTAATACTACTAATCATAACAATACCATGTTACAACATAACAGTATTATCATACTATGAATTACCATCATGTAATTAATAAGATGTGCTGCCATCTTTCTCAAAAACAACTTTTTTTCTTTCTTTTTTCCCCTTTGCTCTTCTACTGCAGGGTCAAGTAGCCACTGAAGCTCAGGGCGAAGCACCCACAGAGATTCTGGTTCCTGTGTGTCTAAAGCCAGAGGAAGGGCTGGAGGTTTGGCGCCTTTGGGTGAAGAGAAAAAATGCTGAACTAAGCAAACGGGAAACAACAAAGCTTGCGCCCATAGGACGTAAGTAGGCCTGTTACAGTTGTCTCAGTAACAGTGAGCTCTTGCTGAAACCAGAGGAAGTCATAACATTTTGCTGTTGGCACTCTGTGTAGTACGTACTGTTATTCTTAGTCACCTAGAAGTAAAGTCAGTTTTACACTGCTTCTCCAAACGTAGTGTTTTCTGGTATTTCTGCGTTCAGGTCGTCAGCCCCTGCGTTTTCAGGAAGATCTGGTATCCAGTGCAGTGGCGGAGTTAAACTTGGGTCTTTCCCTGATGACTCAGGAGGCACGAGGATCCGAGGACGAACAGTTTGCTCCCGATGTCCTGTATTATGTTTTCTTGTGTATACAGAAGGTTAGTATCTCCATACTCAACCACAAAGAGGCAGGAAGAATAAAACTAAGGCTGAAATTGCTTAATAATCTTTTCTGTGTTGTTGGTTTTTTTTTCTTTTTTATAGTATCTGTCTGAAAATGGACGTGTGGATGATATTTTCAATGATCCATATTACACTCGATTTTGCGAAAGTTTACACAAAATCCTGCACGACTGGAAACCCACTGTGCATCCTTTAGGTAAGGCAAAATCCACAATTTTGTAATTGTTTTAGATATTCAGGCAGCATTTACATGTATGTAAACACTCGACAATGGACATCTTTGACATTTGGGATCTTTTCTGGCATGATTGTCATAGCAACAACCATCAGTCATTCACAAGATTAAAAGAGCTTCAGTTGCCTGTTTGCATTAGCCATGCTAGCTGCACTTTACTAACCTTATGCAGTTAACAGCATTTTTTTTGGCAAGGACGAGCTAAGCAGCAGATCGACGATTTAGTTCGGCATCACATCATCCTGTTCAACATGACGGAGATGCGCTGAAGCCTTAAACACATGCATGTGAATCCTGCCGTACTCATGGTATGTTTTCCTCTTAGGTTATATCATCCCAAGTCACGTGACAGAGGAGATGCTGTGGGAGTGTAAACAGCTTGGCGCACATTCACCTTCCACATTGCTCACAACTCTAATGTATTTCAACACTAAGTGAGTAACCATTGAATGGCCCTTAGTCTTTTATCCTCTCTCTAATCGCTCAGAGTCAAATACCGAATATGGTACAATGTCGTATTTGTTGCAGGTATTTCCGCTTGATAACACCTGAACAGCACATGAAAGTAGCTTTCTCTAAAGTCTTAAGACACTCAAGGAAGAACCCAACTAACGCCAAGGACAAAGCAACCAGTATTCGCCTTCTCAAAGGGCAAGGCCTACACAGTGCTGGACAAAAAGGTACTCTCTTGCTCAGGTCGTGATTAGCTCAGTGTTGGATAGCAGAAATGCCCGTTGTTGACCTGTTGCTGTGTACTGCATCATTTAGGAACCGATGACATGTATGAAGAGCAGATCGAGGATCCTGCGAATCCTCTTCGTTGTCCCATCAAACTTTATGACTTTTACCTCTTCAAATGGTGAGCAGCACTTCAGCTTAGTAGGATTTATGTGATGATTACTCTTCAGTTTACACCCCCAGACACATGCTTAACTTTCTTTTCCAGCCCACAGAGCGTTAAAGGACGTAACGATGCGTACTACATGACTCCAGAGCCTGTCGTTGCACCAAACAGCCCGATGTGGTACTCCTCTCAGCCCCTCACAATTCAGCAGGTGGAACAAATGCTGTCTCGCATCATCGTGGTCAGAGAGATCCAGGAGATCATCTGTGTTGTTCCAGAAAATGTGAGCTAGATTGAGGACTTGGCTCACAGGAACTTGTTCTCCAGATTGTTGACTATGCAGTATCCATCCTGACTATTATCATCGATGGCCATTAAAATAAAGTGGAACAACTTCTGAGGAGAGTATCATGATTATGCTCATCAGATCCATAAATTCTTCTCTTCTTATTATCTCTGTTTTTGACCGGTGGGTTGGACTTCTCGTTCTCTTGGCTGCCTTTGTAAGATATCACCTCTGTAACTTTTGAACCGGCAAGTGAGCAAGACTTTAGTCTCTTCTCAGCTGGGCAGAGATGATACATGTTCGTGTACAAAGTCAATCTTATAAATGATTAAACAACTGTAATCTTTTCTTTCTTAACCTCACAGGCTGTTCACGTCTTAATTCTCTAGTACCACTAGTAATAATCTTAAGACAGTTACAGGGACCAGTGCTCACAACTTTTTTTTAAAAATACATTTTGGACCATGTATGATAAGTTTGAATTTGAAATACTTGTGCCTGTTTTTTCCAAAACATAATTACATGATATTGCTTGTGGAATAAGTTAAAACTCAATCATTCACATGGTTAAGTGCTACAGATCGGTGACAAATTGAAGGCAAAACCAGTGTGTTTCAGTAACTTGGTTGCCTGTGCTGTGCTGCCTCTTTAACTCAGCTGTAGTGAAGGACACAATTTTTCTTTATCTAGAAGATATCCTCTAAATGGGTATTTTAACCATGTTAGTGGCCATGTTGGCCCAAACTCCCCCGCAGGGCACTTTTTGTTTAAGATCCGGTGACTACAGAGGTCATAGCCTGATCCATAATTTCATAGCTCAAGTATTTCAACCCCTTCCTGCATCCTGGGAGATGCCACTCGTGTCAAAACTGAAGCATTTTAACATGGGATTAATGTGAGCTGAGACGTACTCCCTCAGCATAACTGAGACACCATATACTGTTGGCTTTTTTTCCTTTAATTTGTCACCTATATCTGTATATTGTAGTCATTCAGGAGATTTTTCTCAGGATAAAACTAACATCTGAAACACCCATCAAGGATTTTTGCCAACGTATTCCTTCATGTATGTGTGTATAGTAGGTTATTAAACAATATATGCAGATGGAATCTTTGTAGTAAGTCATGTCAAGCTGAAACATAATGATTACTGTCTTCTAAAAAGAAAAAGTGAGCTGTGGGTCTTTTTAATAATGACGCATTTGAATGGTTCTTATTCAGTTCCATAGCATCAGTTTTTCATAATTAACACATTCTGTTCCACATCTGTCCACTATCACACGTATCAGCGCTGTAGTTACACATCCTGATGTTCTATTCCACATTTAAATTACATTTAACAGGGTTGGACTGTTAAACGCTGAACAAAGCAAGGAGATGATCACGTTTGTTTTTCATCTGGGAGCGTTATATGCAGTCGGCCCAGTGTTTGGGTGAAGTATTTCGGTAGCGGGCAGGACACGTTGACGTCAGCTTGGCTGCTTCCTGGCAGCGTCAGCTGTCGTGCATGTAAATGAAGGGGAAGGTGCCGAACCTTGCTCTGTTCAATCCCAAGTTTTCCCAACACACGTTCTGGTAATTTCTGTGGAAGGAAATGTATTATTTAGTCATCATTTGTGACAAAATAGAAATCAAACTCTTATACATGTTAAAAAAGAGACTGTAAACATCTTACCTGTGGTGCCAGTTTGCTCCAGTGGGAATATTTGTGGTCACCAAGAATGGGACACCCGAGAGCAAAGGCCATATGAACCCTCATCTGGTGCTTCACTCCTGTGAACACAATGAAGCAGAAAAATACCGAACATGTGCCCAGGCAGGTTTTTGGGATGATTTCCTTTTGTTCACATGTGCACTGTTACCTGTAAAAGGCTGGAGCTCCACAAGGCTGCAACCACTGCTGCTGTCCAGGACTCTGTACTTGGTCAATGCTGGATGAGCTTGGCGATGACTTCGGACTTTGGTTACACCATCACCTTCATCGTTCAGTCTGTAAAGAGGACTCAGAGCCATCTGAAATCAAAGAAGTTGTTATGAGACTGGAAAATGCACACCATTATTTAAACAATAACTACCGTAGTAATTTACTCAAATGCTCTGGACAACAAACCCAAACTAATTTAATGTGTAATAAACATACTAACTACTAAGCTAAAAGCCGTACATACAAGGATGTTTAAAGCAATGATCATACAGAATAAGAGGCACCTTGTAGTGTGGCTGAGGACCTGTGACCTCTCTCTCTATGATGGGAATATCAATCAGACCTTCAGATGGCACAGGAACACCAACCGTGATAACCCTGAAAAGGAACAACATAACTAACATGCAGTGGGAGTATTAGCATGTACATTATTTAATTAATCCTTATCAGTTTCCCCTACTCACCAGTACTTCCTCTCCACTTTGTTATTTCTATTCAGAGCGAGTACGTGCTCCACCACTTCATCCCTCCTGGCCAGCAGGAGAGTTCCCGTTGAGTCCTTTTCTAGACCCAGACAGGGAATGAGCTGAGAATCAGACTTTATCTTCATCCCATCCATCATTTTGGAGAGAACAGGAAGCACAGAGGTGATGGATGTGACGTCGGAGTCATCTGGGAGACAGCAGCAACATTACATTTGTGGTGCCAGTTAGACATCCCAGCTTCAGTGTGATAGCTGACATTTTTATGGTCATTCCAGCTGTTCTCAGTAATGATACTGCATGTCTCCTAACAATAACAACAACAATAATAATAATAACAACAATACTGAGCCTGTTTAAGAACACCTTAATATGTACAACAATAAAATATAGTCTCACCACATAATTTTTCATACATATGTTTAACTGTTCATTAATACAAATATCTAATTAGATAATCATATTAATTTAGCATGCAGGCATCAATAATGGTCAATAGTTCAGAGCCATGATCAGAATGGGAAAGAAAGGTGATTTAAAAGACTAAATGTGGCATGGCTCCTGGTGTCAGACAGGCAGGTTTGAGTATTTTATAAAGTTTTCCAATCATCTTTCGGGTTCACACAGAACAGTACACATGGATGATGTCAGACGATGTTTTCTTGGCACACTCTGTGCCCTTTAGTACGATCGTTTAAACACCACAGTCTACCTGAATATTGCTGCTGACCATGTCCATTGTAAAACACCATGTTACAAAGATCTCATATTGTTTTTTTGAACATTACAATGAGTTGATTTTTATTTTTATTTCAAACTGAAAATAAAAACTTTTTCAAACTTCTTGTCAGTGTAATCAGATTAAAGAAGACAGCCCAGTGTTGGTTTACCTGCCACAGGGATGCCGTAGGGTTTGTTGACGATCACTACATCCTTGTCCTGGTACAGCACGCTTCTGTGGAGGTGTTTGGCGAGCACGTTGGGGTGCACATTTTGTAACTGTACACTGAACCGTTTCAGCTCCATCACCCTCCTCTGCTGGGCAGACATGGGAGGCGCTGTCTCTCGGGTCTTCGACTTCTCTCCTCGGATCTTACGGGCCAGGTCAACGGCTCTAACACGGGGTTTGTCATCTGCGTCGGAGCCTGGAGTGTGGTTGGCAGCGGTGCTCTGACCCCGGGCGAGGGGCGGTGTTGTCTTCGGACACTGGCGGCAGGTTGTCCGGGGTTTGACCAGACAGAAGAGCACATCCAGGCCGGAGCTCCGGTCAAACACACGCGTTAGTCTCCCACAGGTGTTCATCACGGCACTGAGTCAACCTCACAGACCAGACGGCGCACACGAGCTTCAAAACACAAGCATGAACTCTGAAGTTATTAAAGAATTTCCGGGTCAAGCCTTTCAGAATAAAAGCATAATTTCATCCATTCATTCAAATTAAAATAATTCCGACATATTAGACACTATATAGATAAAACCAAACGACAAACGATATAACTATCCGTTTAAATGCTCTTAAACATAACAAATACACATTGCGTAAATGTAAAAAAAAGGATTCCGGTAATTTCCGCCTTTCTCTCAACGGGTGTATTTGTTAACTACGCTTTCACGGCCCGCCAGGTCACAACTGCAAAATATTATAGCTTCTGGAAAGCACCGCCCGTCTGGTAGATGAATAAAAATAAGTCGATCATAATTTCCGGTTGTTACAAAGTTGCATGTTGTCTGCTGTGGATTTTTGTTGTCATAAGGCAAATACAAGCACCTTAGTGATCTAATGGACAGCAGATGCGCATAGCTCAACCAAACCGAAATAATTGCCAGGCTTCATTAAATCTCAGACAGGAAGCTGATGGAGTGTTTTTTCTCCTAACGTATGCTTTCTTGGTAAAAGCCTGCAGCTATGAAGATCACAGACGGTGTATTACGATGTTTCAGAGTGGCCAGGACTCATCGGAAAAACGAAGAGAAGGTCAACTGCGTGGACTACAGCCCAAATGGTGAAAATGTGATAACAAGCAGCGACGATGACCGCATACTGCTGTATGACATGCGAGATGGAAAGTAAGTGGCAGCCACTGTAGACAGTATACTGTAAATGATAAATATACAGTATACTGTGACTGCATTGTGTTCTTATGTTGTCCTTGTGCTTTTCTCAGGTGCAAAAGCAACCTCTTCAGCAAAAAGTATGGAGTAGACCTCATCCGCTACACGCATGGAGACACAAATACAGTGATCTACAGCTCCAACAAACTTGATGGTAAACACTTGACGCCATGCACAGCAGTGCGAATACAGTTAGTGGTCCATTTTGGAAAATGAAATATATTTTGGGATATTTTTCAGATACCATCAGATACCTTTCGCTCACTGACAACAAGTACATCCGATATTTCCCAGGTCACACTAAGAGGTGCGTAAAGCAAACACACAACCTTAATCAACCACAACTGTAAACATGTAGACTGGTATTCAGTGAAAGCAGACAGTTATATAGTATGCACCCTATATGCCTACTAAGTAAATGGACATGCTTTTATTTACTGTAACCAGACTAAATAGAATAAAATGTAGTTGAGTGGAATTCTCATTTTCTACCTTTCTGGAGCTTTCTCCAGTGTGCTCATAAAAATACAGAAATATACACTCAGTGGTGACTTTATTAGCTAAACCTGTTGAACTGGATTTTAGTGGAAATATCTAATCAGCCAGTGTCATGGCAGCAACTCAATACAGTTAGGCATGGTGAAGGTGATGTGCTGAATTTCAAACTGAGCATCAGGATGGGGAACAAAGGTAATTTCAGTGACTTTAATGTGGCGTGGTTGCTGGTGCCAAACAGGCTGGTCTGAGTACTTCTGATACTGCTGATCTGCTGGGATGTTCCCACACAACCAACTCCAAGATTTACAGAAAATGATCTGAAAAAGCAAAAAATTCCAGTAAGCAGCATTTCTCTGGGTGAAAATTCCTCGTTGGTGACAGAGGAGAATAGTCAGACTGCTTTGATCTGAAAGGAGAGAAATAGTAACTCAAATAATCACTCGTTATAACCAAGTTATGCAGAAGAGCATCTCTGAATGCTCTCCAGACATTTCTGTTGCAGATGTGCTAAAGCAGCACAAGATCACACTGGGTGCCACTCCTGTCTGCTAAGAACAATAAACAGTAGTTACGGTTTATATCGCTCAAATTAGACAACAGAAGAAAAACGTTGCCTGATTGAATGATTCTCAATTTCTCCTGCAAGTTTGAGATGTTAGGATCAAAATTTGGATGAAACAAAGCGTTGCACTCAAATGGCCTCCAGAGTCACAGATTTCAGTCCAACAGAGCACTTTTGGATTGCAGAGGAATTCAGATTCTCATTGTGGATGTGCATATAGTGTGCATTCCTGAAAAGCATGTTCCTGTCTGTCTTTCCTTAAAGTAATTTTACATTCAATAAAACATTAGCTCAATCCTGATCAGTTAAAACCAATTTGTTTGGGTTTCAGGGTTACTGCTCTCTCCATGTCTCCGGTGGATAACACATTTATCTCTGGGTCATTGGACAAGACTATCCGGATCTGGGACCTCCACTGTCAAAACTCTCAAGTAAGTAGTTTTCCATTTCTTCTGCCATTTGTACACATTTACAAATGTGTAATAACAGCTACAGCAGTAGAATAGTGTGCTTTACATTGTGACACAAAATACTGCCTATTAAAGTGCTGTTGATTAGGAGTCCCTGAGTAGTCTTGACCACCAGAGGTCTCCAAATCTCTCTTGGATCTGAATCTATGAGCAACACCAGAAACATAACCTTGCAAAAATATAAGGAGTAAATAAACACCAAATGGAAATAAAGACATAAATATGAAAACATGTGCTGCAGAAAGTGGTCATTATTGAGGATTCTTTTGCATATTTCTTGAAAGTTACCAGTTTATGTTGCACAATCTCTCTGATTTTCAGGGTTTGATAAATCCACTGGGGACACCTCTGTGTTCGTTTGACCCCGATGGGCTGATATTTGCTGCAGGAGTGGATTCAAAGACAGTTAAACTCTACGACTTTCGTGCTTTTGACAAGGTACAGCTGAGTCCATTAAGGGTTTTCTGTTTGTGTTCACATGCATTCTTTCCAAAAGCCTTAAATGAAATTCTTAATTATCTGAAAATCTTCCCGTTGAAGGGCCCGTTTGCCTGTTTTGAAACGAGGTTTAATCGCGTTTGTGACTGGACTGGACTCAAATTCAGTAGTGATGGGAAGCAGATCCTCATATCTACAAATAAAGGGATTATTGGAGTCTTGAATGCTTTCAATGGATCTGTGCTGCACACTTTTTCCGTAAGAGACATATTGGAACAAAAATACGGAATTGCATCTGTTTTTATGTTAGTATAATTATTTTCAGATTACATGCTGAAGCCATCCCTGTCTTTCCTCATTTTAAGGGCTACAACAACAGTAAAGGCATCTCACTGGAGGCCTGCTTCACACCTGACTCGCAGTTTGTCATGATTGGTAAGCTAAAAAAAAACCCTCAAACTTTAGATTTGAGCCTTTTCCTTTAAGCTTCCTGTTAACACTCTGGTTTTTCCAGGCTCAGAAGACGGGAGAGTTCACGTTTGGAGCACAGAGAGTGGAATGAAAGTGGCCGTGCTGGATGGGAAGCATCCAGGACCCATCAGTGCGCTCCAGTTCAACCCCAGATTCATGACGTTTGTTAGTGCCTGCTCTAACACGGTGAGCGCAAGCCTTTCTTACCAGTGTGTCATTGATCTCCTGCTGGAAAAACTGCTTATTGTTCTCATTTTGACTTTTTAAAAATTATTTTCTCAACAGACTTTTTGGCTCCCGTGTGTTGATGACTTGTAAAGGCACCAAAGGTCACCATCATGGAGTGAAGTTGGACCCTCCTTTACAAACATCATGACCAAGGAATATTTTGGAAAAATGTTATGTTGTTTCTACCTTTTTTTAAAAAAGATGTTTCATTAGCTTTTATTAGCCTGTGTTTTTTAAAAAAAATAATAATTGTGCTTTTATTGATGGTTTTATAATAAACTGGTTTAAAGTTATATAATAAAAAATCTTGTTTTTTAAACGTTGCCCCTCATCCTTCCTCAAACGTTTGCTAGGAATTATCTGAATTCCAACAAGTGCTTTTATTATTATTATTTTTCCTTTGTATTAACCAACAATATTAGAAGTATAAATGTAAACTGACAAACACTAACAAGTGAGAGTTTTCTGTGTGTGTGTGTGTGTTTCCAAATCCTGTGCTTCTTTACCCTAGCTTAGATCCTCGTGGCGCAAATTCAACAAGGTGCTGGAAACATTTCTTAGAGATTCTGGTCCATATTGACATGAAGACACAGAAGTTGGATATCAGATGGAGATGGTTTACGCTTCGTGTCACAGCACATTATCCTGCTTGAAGCAGCCATCTGAAGACCACTACACTGTGGTGATAAAGAGATGGACATGGTCAGAAATGAATGACGATGCAAGTACCAGTCTACTTCCTCAGCCTGTCTGACCGATTCTGATGCTCGGTTTCATCGTGTAGATGATGTACACATGTCTAAATGCCTGGAATAACTGTTATA